TTCTTTAATACTGTCCTTTTTTAGATCACGTCACATTCTTCGATGGAGCACTTGCACGTGACTCGATCGCACGCTGAACAATATCGTTTGCAACGTTGAATGTCATAGTGCGCAGACATAAAATAATTAGGACTGAAGTAGGGGACATTAAAGTGATTAAGCTCCCAATTATCAATATCATCAAGGTCACGTTCATTGGTTCTTTGAAGCATCAATAGATGATTAAAATTATTGAGACGGCCAGGGTACATATACATACGTATCGAATTGTTCATCACCACCAATTCGACATATTTCCCAATACCTGTATAAATCTTAATGTATGTTGGTTCACAATCATGGAGCTGTTCACAAAATTTAGACGCCCAATAGCGATAATCAACGATAGGTTTAATATAATACGGCACAACGTCAGCACAGCGAGCTGCACGTGATTCTTCCTCGCTAACGCACTCGTCCCGCAGCCGTCGATACACTTTTCGTCTCTCGTTAGAATCTCATTCGTAAGGAGAAGCGGTATTGATAACGACTCTTTGTCTAGCGAAGCGTTGACCGTTCACTCCTTGATCTGGTAATTATTTACAAAAAAACCCCACTTGCCAATGACCTTGATCTTGACATATGTTGTCAAAGCCACCCTCCTGAGTGACCTTCAGAAGTTTTTAGCCGGCGGTCGATATTCGTTAAAAAGTTATTAACAAAAAAAGTTTGGAAAATATAGCATTGTGGTAATTATGCATATTAATACCCCACCTGCCAATGACCTTGACCTTGATATATGTTGTCAAGGTCACCCTCCTGAGTGACCTTCATAGGTTTTTAGCCGGCGGTCGTTATTCGTTAAAAAGTTATTAACAAAAAAAGTTTGGCGACCTCACCGATTTCAATGACCTTGATACATGTTGTCAAAGTCATAACCCCGAGTGACCTTCAGAATTTTTTACCCGGCGGTCGTTATTCGTTAAAAAATTATTAACAAAAAAAGTTTGGCGACCTCACCGATTTCAATGACCTTGATATATGTTGTCAAGGTCATGACCCCGAGTGACCTTCAGAAGGTTTTAGCCGTCGCTCGTTATTCGTTAAAAAATTATTAACAAAAAGTTTGGAAAATACGTAGGTTAGATGACGCGCTTTAACATTTTGGGGGCTCGTCCGGGATCGGACGGACGATAAAGAGTGAGAATGACGTCGACAACAACCTCTTTACGAGCGACGAGTGCCCCGGTGAGAAAAAGGCTGCGCGCCGGAACTCCGTAACCGCCCAGCGAAGCCTCGACTCTGCAAGCTATTGTCGAGGAGTTGCGGCAACTCAGGGAGGAGCGACAGCAGCAGCAGCGGGAATCGGAAATGCGGGCGCAGCTCCAGGAGCGGGACGTCTTGTTTCAGCGGATGGAGGAACGGCTCTCTTCTTTAACAGGCCAGTCGCTTCCGACTTTGTTTAACCCCGAAACCGCAAGAGAAATAAATAGTAGTTCCGGGAATGCTGGGCTCGGTTATAAATTAAAGCCCGACATGTTCGACGGGAGTGTTCCTCTGCGCGAATATTTGGCACAGTTTAATTTAATTGCGCAAGCGAACGGCTGGGAGAAATCTACGAGAACCGTGGCTTTAGCCTCGAGCTTAAGAGGGAAAGCGCGTGCCGTATTGGATGGGGTAACCGAATTCGAGAGCCTTTGGTATTCTGAATTAGAGGCTAGGTTAGAGTTGCGTTTTGGCGAAGCGCATATGTCTCAAACGTTTTACACTCAGTTCACTAATCGGAGACAAAAACCCGGATAAGATCTGCCTGTTTTAGGAGCAGATTTAGAACGTTTAGCGCGTTTAGCCTATTCGGAGTGCCCGGCCGAGGTGCGGGATAAGATCGCGTGCGCCTAGTTCGTCGCGGCGCTTTCTGACGGTTTCGTAAAACAAACTCTTCAGTTAGAGGGATTAACTTTCTTGAAAGCCGCCATAAAGAGAACCATGGCAATAAAAATCATCCAAGCGAATAGTTTTTTGCGGAAATTTGAAAGTTGAGATCTCGGAAAAGGCAAAGCTGGGAACGAAATTAAATCGGCGGGGAATGAGAAAGGTGAAAAGAGTTCTGCGAATTTAAAGAAGAATTCGGGTTTCAGAACGAGATTCGGGCGTGAGAAAAAGAAGTGCTAGCAATGCGGTGCCAAAGGGCTCTTCCGGTCGGAGTGCCCTTCTCTAACTACGGAAGGGAAACTCGGAATAGCCGAGCTCAGCGGGGCATGTTCGGCTCAGGGGTGCAAGGCCCTGCGAAATTAAGTAGGATAAGTAGCGGGTTAAGTGATTTTTGTTTTCGCGGCCGAGTTAATGGCCGGACTTGCGTCTTTAGAATAGATACGGGATCTGATGTGTCGGTACTTAGGGAAGATTTGTTAGGTCCTTTGAAATCACCCACTCCTGTAGAGAGATATTTCTTGACCTATCCAACGGCAGAAACGGTTCCTGTAAAACGTAGAGTGATGGTTGGAATCGAAATAGGAAAATTTTCTTTGGATTTTCCGATATTCATAGCGGCCATAAAAGACGAGTGCATTCTAGGAGCGGACTTTCTTTCAAAAATAGGGGTGGGAAGCGTTTTCTCTTCGGTTTTTGAGGAAACGGTGTCAGAGAGTCAAGAAAACTTTTTGTGTTCCTGAATTTGTAGTTTTGATAGAGAGATTTCTTTTTTTCTTAAGAAATTCTTTGAGAAAAATTCCGAAACTCTCAACGCTTCTCAACAGGAGCAGTTTGCCGAATTGGTGATCGAGTTTCAAGATGTCTTTTCAGAAGATGTTGCAGAAAATTGCTCCGTCGTTGAGCATGCTATTAAGGTGAAAAGTTCTTCTCCGATTAAACAGGCTCCTAGGCGAATTCCACTGCATATGCGAGAAGAGGTGGAAAATATTTTAAACGAAATGAAACAACGAGGTGTCATCGAAGAATCTCATAGCGCCTGGGTTTCCCCAGTTGTTTTAGTTAAAAAGAAAGATGGAACGATTAGATTCTGTATCGATTTCAGGAAGCTCAATGCTATTACAGAAAAAGATTCTTATCCTATTCTCAGGATAGATGATCTTTTTGATCGTTTATCCGAAAATTCCTGGTTCACCACCTTAGATTTAAAAAGCGGCTATTGTTGCGCGATGCTTCATTAGAGAAGTCGTAGAGGCGCTGCGAGTTCGGCGAGTCGGTAACAGCGATAGCAACACAGACTCTTACAGACACACCTCTCGGAGACATCGGCACGATTGTACACGTGACGAGCAATAAAGTCTTTTCATACATTACACGTGATATTCCTTGCACCCGAAACCACAACATGGTGGCAGCGTGGTAACGTGCGAACCCGTAACGAATAAAAGGGACAATCAAAGTCAAGTGCATAATCGCAAAGCAGCGAAGAAAGGTGCAAGATCCGTGTGAGAGGTTAAGTCGACACGATGCCGGGCGGTGAAGGCGGCAGCTCACAGCCCTTGATATACATGGCGGCAGCCGTGCAATTACCTCCTCCGCCAAATTTGAGTTTCCGATCGGAGGATTGGCAGCGATGGTCCACGAGATGGGAACGATACCGACAAGGCAGTGGCATTGCAAATCAGTCAGAGGAGACGCAAGTTAATCAATTTGTATACTTAATGGGACCGCGTGCGGAAGACATTCTGTTATCATTTAAACTCAGTAATATAGAAGCAAAAAGCTATAAGATAGTACATAAAAAGTTTGAAGAACATTTCGGAGCTCGCGTAAATATAGTATTAGAACGAGCACGATTCAATAGGCGCACGCAACAAAACGAGGAAGCGGTAGAGGACTTTATCGCAGATCTCTATCGTTTAGCGGAAACATGTAATTTCGGTACATTAAAAGATGAACTTATTAGAGACCGAATTGTAGCAGGCATTCAGGACCAAAAGCTATCGGAAATATTGCAATGTGACCCTGAGTTCACGCTGGAAAAAACTGTCATGAAAGTACGAACAAAAGAAGAGGTCAGAACACAACAGGCAGTCTTAAGAGGAACGGAGGTAGCAGCTAACCTCGACAGAGTCAGCAGTTCCCGCGGAACACGTGGCAAACAGTACGCGAAAGGCTTCCAGCGACAGCATAAGAAGGACGAGGCAACAACGGCGAAACGGTGCACCCGATGCGGCACGACACCGCAACATGCATTTTCCTTGTGCCCAGCCAGGCAATCTGCATGCAAGTTTTGTAAAAAGACAGGACATTGGGCGGCGATGTGCAGAAAGAAAGCGGTACATGAAGTGAATAAAAATGATAGTAAGAATGAAGAAGAAAAAGAAGACGATAAAGAAGATCTCTACTTGGGCGGCGTACAAGCAATAATAAAAGAAGAAAAAGAGGGACAAAGCAAAACACAGAATACCGAAGACAAGAAGCAACAAAGAAACATAGATAGAATAAGGACGAAGACAGCGCACTCCGAACCGCCATGGATGGCGCAAGTAAGCATCAACGGAAAGGACGTATCAGTCAAGGTAGATACTGGAGCTGACGTGACGGTGATAAGTGAAGAACTCTATAGGCAGCATCTAGTCGGCATTGCATTGACAAACGCAGGTAAAGGACTGCAAGTGGGAGACTCAATACCTCTCAACGTGCTGGGTAAGTTGCAGGCTAAAATAGAGTGGAAGAATAAAGCAGCTATCGACCACATATATGTCGTCAAGGAGAACATGCAGCCATTGTTAGGCCGTCCGGCCATTAGAGCGTTAGGCATGTTAGACTGGGTAATAGACATGGTCATTGCTGAAGTAAGTAACGACAAACCTGAAAGTGAATTCAGTAATGTATTTGAAGGGTTAGGATGTCTCAGAAAGTGCAAACCTTACCACATTTGTTTTAAACCAGATACCAAACCGTATGCAGTATCAGTACCTCGCAGAGTTCCACTGCATCTGATGCACAAGGTCAAATAAGAGCTAGAGCGGTTGGAAGAGTTGGGCGTGATCAGTCGAGTCGTCGAGCCGACGGAATGGTGCGCACCGATGGTTGCCGTGCTCAAGGCCAACAAGAAAGATGTGAGGATTTGCATAGACTACACTGAACTCAATAAATGCGTTGTAAGAAACCGTCACATCATGCCGAGTGTTGAAAAAAACCTTGCTCAACTAGAAGAAGCCCGCTGGTTTTCCCTTCTTGATGCGAACAAGGGATATCATCAGGTGCCTTTATGCAAATGTTGCCGACATGTAACTACTTTCATCACGCCATTTGGTCGCTACTGCAGTGATAGACTACCGATGGGTTTGTGTCCCAGCGCGGAGCACTTTCAAGAAAGTATGTCTACAGTATTGGATGGACTACAAAATGTGGTGAACCTATCAGATGACGTTCTTGTTCATGGAAGAACTCTTGAAGAACATGATAAATGTCTGCGTGCAGTATTGCAGCGTCTATCAGAGTCAGGTCTTACGTTAAACAAAGATAAGTGTGTCTTCAGACAAAAGCGCGTAAGATTCTTGGGATACATTGTATCAGCGGATGAAGGCGTGCAGCCCGATCCTGAGAAAGTGAAAGCTATAACCAGCATGAAGAGGCCAACCAACACTACGGAGGTGAAAAGGTTTTTGGGAATGGTCCATTTCCAGTTAAAGTTTATAGAACATCTTGCGGATATCACCAAACCACTGAGAGAACTGTTGAAAGATAGCGTCGAGTTTATGTGGGAATCACCACAGGAAAAGGCCTTCAAAGAGGTCAAGAAAAGATTGATCGAAGCTCCAGCGCTCTCTCTCTTTAACACAAATAAGAAGACAAGAATTTCGGCAGACTCTTCGTCATATGGATTAGGAGCAGTCCTGGAGCAATTCGATGAAGAACAAGAAGATTGGAGGCCAGTCTACTATGCGTCTAGAGCTCTATCCAAAACCAAAAAGAGATACGCTCAAATAGAAAAAGAGGCGTTAGCATTAACGTGGGCATATGAGAAGTTTGCAGCGTTCATCATAGGAGCACCAGACCTTGTCTTAAGGACGGATCATAAGCCATTGATCTCGATTCTGGGACCCAAGCCTATTAGTGATCTCTCCCTGAGGTTACAACGGTTTCGAATGAGACTAATGCGTTTTGCTTATATTGTTGAGTATGTTGCAGGGAAAGCTTTGATGACTGCGGATACACTCTCGCGGGCACCGTTGTCAGATGCCCGTGACGCTGAGGATTGCTTGTGTGATGACGGCATCGAAAAGTTCGTACAAGCAGTTGTTAAGAGACGGATGTCCGACCAATTTGCGATCAAAATACGTGAGATGCAAGACAAGGACATGGTCATGCAAGATGTTTTGAAATATGTACGAGAAGGATGGCCGAGGTATCGCAGAGATGTACCAGAGAAGCTATTACCATATTTCGAGGAAAAAGGTATCCTGACGGTGACACCAGATGGGACCCTCCTATGCGGCACGCGGATACATATCCCAAAAGGTCTACGTAACGAGGTGCTTGAGAAGATACATCAGGGTCATTTAGGAGAGAAGAAGTGTCAGGGACGAGCCAGGCAATCTGTATGGTGGCCAGGAGTCAATGCAGATGTGCGAGCACGGTGCTTGAAGTGCACCATATGTTTGGAACATCGTTTGCAAACCAAGGAACCTCTAATAGTGACAGAACCACCTGAACGACCATGGCAGGAAGTAGCAGTAGACTTCTGTGAAAGAGAAGGAAGACACTATCTGGTGATGGTTGATTATTTCTCTAGGTATCCAGAGGTCGTATACATGTCATCAACTACAGCAGCAAACACGATCGCGAAGATGAAGGATATATTTGGGAGACACGGAATTCCAGAGCAGGTACGCTCAGACAATGATCCGCAGTTCAGCAGCCAGGAATACAAGCAGTTTGCCAAGAATTTCGGGTTTGCCATAGTTACAAGCAGCCCGAGATATCCACAGAGCAATGGGAAAGTTGAAGCGGCAGTAAAAACAGTCAAGCGCATCTTGGAGAAGGAAACAGAACCTACTCTGGGTTTATTGGCATATCGTACTTCTCCTCTGGAAACAGGCAGCAGCCCGTCTGAATTGCTCATGGGAAGAAAACTTCGCACGCCGGTGCCATGTTCGGCGATGACACTAACACCCAAATGGCCCGATTTGAAAGCGTACCGCCAACAGTTATGGGCGGGAAAGCTTCGCAGCAAACAGCAGTACGACAAGAGACATCGAGTGCGAGAGCTACCAGAATTGATGCCGGGTGAACTGGTGTGGATAAAGGACCAGCGAGCATATGGCACTGTTGTACGTCGTCGTACTGAACCAAGGTCGTATGACGTACGATACCCGGGAGGCTTGTTGCGACGCAACCGGAGTTTTCTGGAATCAACCAGACGAGCGATGGAAGACGACGATGAAGATGAAGATGATTGGGGAACAGTAGCTAATGAAGATCAGCCGCGGCAGGAGGCGGATAAAGAACCAGCGCCGGCTGAACAACCGGAACCCTTGCGACAAAGTAGTCGCCAACATAACACGCCGAGAAGATTACATTATCAACAATTAGGGAAACCGACGTGTTAATCAAAGAAAGTAGAGAGGTTTAAGTTGGAATTTTGATTTATGTATTAGTACACCAAAGGTTAGTCTCATCGATTGTAAAATAATCGCGATAGTTTTGTTTGAGCTATACCCTATAAGTTTATATTGAGCAAGTTAATTTTCATTATAAAAAGGGGAGGATGTTGCGCGATGCTTCATTAGAGAAGTCGTAGAGGCGCTGCGAGTTCGGCGAGTCGGTAACAGCGATAGCAACACAGACTCTTACAGACACACCTCTCGGAGACATCGGCACGATTGTACACGTGACGAGCAATAAAGTCTTTTCATACATTACACGAGATATTCCTTGCACCCGAAAGCACAACAGCTATTGGCAGGTGAAACTTTGTCCTCAGGATAAGGAGAAAACGGCCTTCTCTATAGGAAATGGCTTATGGCAGTTTACTGTAATGCCATTTGGATTATGTAATGCTCCTGGTACTTTTGAGCGATTGATGGAGCAGGTTCTTCGTGAGATATTGAATAAGATCTGTATGGTTTATTTGGATGATGTCATCATTTATAGTAAAACTTTCGAGGAAATGCTGGATGCTGGCAAATTTAAGAGAAATATTTCTTCGTTTACGGGGTGCAAAACTCAATCCAAAAAAATGTACTTACTTCGGGAGAGAAGTGAAATACTTAGACCATGTCGTTTCAAAAAGAGGAATTTCCACTGATCCGGAGAAAATTAAGACTGTTCAAGAGTGGCCTATTCCTCAAAATAAGAAGCAAGTGCGAAGCTTCTTGGGACTCTGCTCTTATTATAGGAAATTTGTGAAGGAATTTTCTCTTATTGCTAAGCCATTATTTTTTTTAACTGAGAATCTTAGAAAATTTGTGTGGAATGGGCGTTGTCAGGAAGCTTTTGAGAAGCTTAAACAAAACTTAATTTCTCCTCCTATTTTAGCTTTCCCAATAGAAAAGGGGGAATTTATTCTTGATACTGACGTTTCAAATCACGGCTTGGGCGCGGTACTTTCTCAAATTCAGGATGGTAAGGAGAGGGTCTTAGCTTATTACAGTCAGGTTTTGAGCAAATCTGAAAGGAACTACTGCGTAACTCGACGGGAGCTGTTAGCTTTGGTGGAGGTTTTAAAGACCTTTCATCACTATTTATATGGACGTGAATTCTCGGTTAGAACGGATCATATTTCGTTACGCTGGTTGATGTCTTTTAAGAATCTAGAAGGACAGTTGGCACGTTGGATGGAACGCTTACAACAATTTAATTTCGTAGTCAAGCACCGAGCAGGAAGGGTGCACGCAAACGCTGACGCGTTGTCTAGGCGTCCATGTGCGGAAGGAAACTGCAGATATTGTGATAAAGTGGAGATGGGGGAAGAAAGTATTGTAAGGGGAGATGTTAGAAGAATTATCTTCAAGAAAATTGAATCTGCGGACTGGAAAAGAATGCAATTGGATGACCCTTCAATTGTAGGAATTTATCGTGGAAAAGAGGAGAATATTCGACCTCTTCGTCAAGAAATAGCTCAGAGAGATTCGACTGCTAAGGACTATTGGCTCTAATGGGATTCCCTGGTAATAATTAAAGACGGAATTTTGTGTAGGAAATGGGAGTTTCCAAATTTATGTTCCGTTGTTTTTCAAACTATAGTACCTCGAGGAATGATTTCGCAAATTTTAGAAGCTCATGATTCTTCCACAGGTGGCCATTTTGGTGTCAATAAGACCTTAGAGAAGATACGGAAACATTTTTATTGGGCTTTCTGTAAGCAAGATGTCGAAAATTGGTGTAGGACTTGTAAAGTTTGCGTTGCAAAGAGAGGGCAATCTGATAAAGGAAAGTCTTCTATGCAAATTTACAATGTCAGTGCGCCTTTCAAAAAAATTAAAATGGATGTCCTCGGTCCCCTTTCAATTTCTTCTTCGGGAAACAAATATCTGTTGGTTACAGACTGTTTCACAAAATGGGTGGAAGCTTTACCGCTTGGAAATATTAGGGCTAAAACGATTGCGGAAATTTTCTTGAATCAAGTGGTTTCTAGATACGGCATTCCTTCGGAATTACATACTGACCAAGGAAGAAATTTTGAATCTCGATTATTCTTGGAACTCAGTTATTGGGAATTAAAAAAACAAGAACTACTCCATTTCATCCTCAATCCAATGGTCAAGTGAAACGTCAACATCAGACGTTGTTAAATTATCTGGCAAACTTCGTTGCTGAAAATCAACGAGATTGGGATCGTTGGATTCTATTAGGGTTGTTGGCGTATAGATCTTCTAAACATGAAACTACTGGTTTTACTCCTTCTGAATTGCGTTTAGGTCGGGAGTTAAGATTACCCTTGGATCTACTTCGCGGACATCCTGATTCTGAGGCTATTTTTTCGGAAAGAGAATATTTCCGTCACTTGAAAGAAAAAATGGATCTCATTCATAACATTGTATGTCAACGTATGGTAATTAAGTCTGAAAAAGCCAAGGCGCTTTATGATCGGAAGGATAGACAATTATGCTACGAGCCTGGGAAAAAAGTCTGGTTATTTAATCCTCGAAAATAGGAATAACTCCTAAATTACAAAGTAATTGGAAAGGTCCTTTTGAAGTCGTTAAAAGAATAAATGATGTAGTTTATTGCATTCGTAAGTCTAAACGGCATAAGAACAAAGTCGTTCATTTAGATAGATTAGCTACATTTTATGAGAGGTAATTCCTTTCGAATCACGACTTTCATCTGGAGCCTAAAAATTTTTTTTTTTTTTAATTCATTCAATTAGTTTTTAGGTTTTAAGAAAAAGATACTTTTTTTCGTTGTTACTTTCAGCTACTTCTCCGGGAAGTTGGTGCCGAACAACATCAGGCGAAGTTATTAGCTGAAAGAAGACCGCCTTGCCCACGGTTTTTGACAGTGGTTTTTCCGTGGGACTTAGGGCAAATGCCAAGGCGGTGACTGGGGAGTCTTGCGAGACGCAGGGTCCACGAAAGTTTCCCCCTCCAGTCCGAAGACTCTGAGGACAGCGTTGGAAGCAGAAGAAAAGCCGACGTTGAAGAAATTCACACGTGGAAAGAAACGTTTTTTGAATTAAAGGAAGAAACGAAGCTCGTTAACTCGCAGCTTAGCTCGAGGTAGAGCAGGAAGCGTTTCAAGTTCCCAAAAATCTAAAAGAAAAAAACTGCTTGCAACTTCCCTCTAGTTGTCGGGACGACAACTAAAGAAGAGGGGGACGGTGTTACGCCTGTGCTGGACACTGAGTAGAGAAGTCGCGGAAAGCTGTGAAGCGCGCTCCTTGACAACGGGAGTTTGTTTATAGATTTATTGATTTTCTGTCTTGCGGATTTTTTGAATCCGCACGCGTTCTGTTCTACGAGCTTGGAATAAACGCATTTCTTAAATTCTTTTGAGTTTTTTTTCCTTTCGCGAGTTTCGCGGAATACGTGCGTGAGTGTGGAGTGCGCGATAGTGCTACGGCGGCGAGCTTACTCGACAAGCGTAACAATACATTCCAGCAGCCGGACATCGGCGCTCGCTTTTTGTAATATGCTGCGCCATAACCGAATACCGCCGCGACGGTTAAATCGTAATCGGCAGCGGCTCTTCCTAGAAAAAACATGAAGAGGCCTCCGCAACGGTTAAATCGTCATCGGTGACAAATTTTATCAATTGTTTACCTCGGCTATTTTATCTTTAAACCGTTGTCGGACCATCAACGCTCGCTTTTGTAGTGAGACGTCGTAACCGAATGGCGGCTCGCATGTTCTAGAAGGGTGAGATTATTGCAGAGTCAAGTGTCTAACTCGCTGTTTTTGTTTATATTCGCCGATAAAATTCCAGCAGCCGAACGGCGCCCGTTAGCCTTTATAATACCCCCGCGCCGATAAAGTAACGATCCCCCCCCCGTACCACTTCAGCCTAAAACTTGGACATTTCCCCCCCCCCCGCGGCCCCCCCCCCCCCAGAACGCGGACCCCCGCCCCCCCCCCCCCCGCGGACCACCTTTGGCGTAGAACGCGGATACCCTTTCACCCCCCCTCGGCGGTACCCCTTGTCAACGATATGTTTATCAATATTTAATAAACAACATGTCCCGACACGCTCGCCGACCCCCCGCTCCCCCCCTCGCCCTCGAGTCTACCCCGCCCCGTTCCCCCCTCGCCCTCGAGTCCCCCCCCGCCCTGCTTCCCCCTCGGAGCTTCCGGGGTAGATCTCTCAAAATATCTTCTACTAACATGATTTTTTTAACTAAAATGTTATTGCATCAAGATCCGCTTTGAGAAATGGCATTTACCTCTTATGATTGTATTATTACATATCGGTCTAATGCTTGATTTATTATTGATTATTGCAGTCTATTTCATGTTCATTATTTTCATGATGCGTGAATAAAGATGAAACACGCGCGCCGAATATGCGTGCAATTTTACGTAAGAAGGTTGAATGGAGATAGTTTCGCCCCGGAGGCAAGATTTGCGATATTGTTACTCGAAGGACCAGAGGGGGGTTGTCGAGTTCCCCTCACGACTATCAAATGTTTAACGCGAAGGCAGAAGCGCATGCAACGAAATATTAAAGCGAAGCGACTCACCGTGTCGGCCATCGTCCCCGTGATTCCGCCAAGCCTCGTCTTGTCCTCTGAACTTGGCCGCTCCGTGGGTCTCGTTCGGCATGCGATGGCAAAACTCGTGCAAGCAAGCAAGCGATGGAGAGCAAGCAATAGAGCAGGCAGGAAAAGGCAGTAGGAGACGTGCGCACTCCCGGTTGAGCAAGGCGGCAAAAGCGATTCCGTGGTTCGTTCTGCCCGGCGAATGTGTGCCGTAAGACGGCTCCCAAAATATGTGTGTGTGCCGCACGGCGGCTTGACGAAAAAGGTGATGATGAGAGGTGTGTCCTCTCCGAATACTTGACGATGAGTGTTCTCTTCCCGCGGTCCTGGAACATGTCGCTGCGGGCGAGTAGTTGTTCCCTTTCCGGGGGGGTGGATACCGTCGGCGGATGGGCGATGGCAGTACCGACAAGT